AAGCTGCTCTCTCACCAACAGCCCATGGTCTGCAGCAGGACCCCTTCCCACTGCCTTTCCCTGCATTAAGGATGTTAAGACACTAGAGTTTAAATAACACCAAACAAAATCAAGCAAAACTAAAAGACACCCTTGGTTCCAGACACTGCATGTTTTGTTCACAGACGTATATAGTTATCACCCTAAGACTCCACTAGCTACAGAAAACCCCAAACCCTGCAAGAAGCAGGAAGGGGGCCAGGCCACCGTCCCTGTCTAGGACACGCACTGTACCCGAGGGCGCTCCTTGCAGAAGACCTGCCTCGATCCTTCCCATCTGGCATCTGGGAAACGGGGAAAGGCTTCGGTGGAGGCCCGGGACTGCACCAAACACAACGCAGGCAGCGCTGATCTGCGGCAAGCCCGAGGTCCTACAGGACTGTGACACATTCAGAAGGTATAAATGATCAATTAACTCGCATCTGAGTCTTGGGGCGCAGAGCACGGCGCGCCAGGCACTTCCCCATCGAGCAGCGCAGCTGCTTTGAGGACTCCTTCAACCCAGCCGCAGGCGGGGGCTGTTGCACTTCACACGACGGGGTCGTTAACCACGTGACGGGGCCGTGCGTTGGTTTGTTACTGAGATTGCTTTTCTTTCCACTACTGCCGTGTCCTCAAAAATGAATATATTACTCAGACAGGGAGATTATTCACTTTTATATTGAATTTTATGAATATTTCACTATTTTGCTGGTGATGTGGGAAAAAATACTCTCTTATGGCCTTTGTGCTATGTGAGCTTGCTGCTAATAGTAGTCATTTTATTTTACACTTTATGAATATGTATGCACCTGGAAATGATAAACTTGTACCCAGTAATGGATTAATTTATTAGTGTCTCACACACAACATGTAAGCTCACGTCTCTTGTGCCTGGGCTGTGGCTTGGGCTTGGCATTTTTTTTTTTTTGGTCATATTAAAGAGGATTTTTTCTGCCAGTTCAAGACAGGCTTCATTACCCTGGCTGCATCTCAACCCCTCCTATGAACAGAAACACAAAGTCCACTTTTAAATGGCCCTGACAGAAAGAAGAGAAAGCCTGATATAAAAATATGCACTGCTGACCGCTACAGACATTTTAATTAGTTCTAAGGATAGACTTTTGGCAAGGAGGAGACAGCGTTGGGGAGTCAGTGCAACAGCAGTGCATTTTCCTCTGCAAGTGGAAGTCATTGGTTCCGATTCCAACACCCGCCTCATCAGACCTGACCTTGGCAGCTTACTGCCTCAGCCGCAAGCCGCCGCGGAGAGCTCGGCGCTGCCGGCAGCTCCCACCCAGGGAGCACCACGATGAGCTCAGCTTTGAGGCAGCCCAGGCAGCGAGGCGGGAGCGCTGTCTAACCCTGGCAATTGCGGCTACTTTATCCATCATGTTTGACGATGCTTGACAGCGCGCGGCGCCCAGCCTGCCGCTGTGCGTAATGAAGCTCGCAAGCAGAGCTGCTTGGACACGTAGTGCAAAGTGTGCTAGTTTTTCAGCCGAGGCGGGAGCCTCCATTTACATGTGAGCACATGGGACAAGCTATTTCTCTGTTCGTTACAAAGCTTCACTGTTCCACATTTCCTTTTTCTAACATCTACAGGGCTTTATCAGAGCTAGCAATTAAACCAGCTGCTCTGAGAGCAGGATCATTTCAGGATCAGAAAGAAAAAGCACAAGCCTGTACTAGAGTATTTTACATAACTAAGTTACTGGACAGCATAAATTTGGACTTTCTTTTACAGGGATTCTGCAGATTCATTTCTGTAATAAATTTATATAGAAATACTTCATTTTTGGTTCATGGCCATGAGTCACAGAAATAAAATCAAGATAGCTCCCTACAAAGTTGGTTCCAAGTCTCTTCATCCAAAGATGTGACAGCAAATGTGCTCCGTGGGACACTTATTAAAAACTGACCGAAGTAAATCTTTGCTGCCTCCTTTTACCATCTCTGAAAAGTGGGTTATTAAAATCTTCCCAGATGTTGCCACCCCATCAATAGGTGGGCTACTCTGGGGAAGCAGGAAGGGTGCAGGATGTGTCAGTAATTAGTTTCACCTGTGTCAAGACTCAGTAATGAAAACCGTACATACGCACATCCCTTACACGGTGCTTAGCTCTCGGTGAAATTAGAAAACATAGTTACAGTCATAACTGTATGATTTAAAAAAACAATGTTACTAAGCTACACAGAAGTTCACAACCTGTATATTTTCAGTAAAAAGTAATGAAAATTAGTTTTTTATTCTACATTTGTACAGATAAGGTTGCTTTTAATTTCAGTCAAATTGAATCCTCAAAGCCAGAAAACTAAATATTGAAGATAAAATCTAAAGGTTAATTGTTATGTTGGTTTCTCTTTAAAACATATAATGGCAAAGAAGGAAAACAACTAGGTTTGCTTTG